CACCTAGTGGGATAAGTTGAGACAGAAGAAGAAAGTCACTTTTTTGTTTCATCGAATTTCAAATCAAAGGAAATTTTCGGCTCAGAAATAATCAAAAGCCACTCTCGCATTCCGGACTATCGGCTATTGTGTTTCGAAATTCGAACACACATGCACGCATGCCCGTATTCAAACAGACGGAGTTTACAGCACACACACGGACTGCGCCACACCAAATCCATGTTCCCGTCACAAACAATTCGCCCTCTGTATTGTAACTGCGCGATTAATTAGCGAGTGCCTTGTTTTTGTAGTTCAAAAATGAAACGGCAAAGGGTTTACGTGCTCACGTGATTTTGGAGTTCCACTCGAGACTATTAAAACTACAGTGCGTCTTCTCGCATTAAAGCTGTATAATCTCAAAACTTACTAATTTTACAAGAGAGTAAAGGTTTAACATGTGATATTTTTAATATTAATCATCTTTGCAACATTTATTTTTTATTTTTCACCAGTTACATTATCTGTCTTTTAAAGTAAAAATAAAATGATGTACTAATTTCGTTGTAGTAGTACGCATGTTAACTCAATTTCGAATATTTTTGGAAATTGTACACTTTTAATACGAAAAGATGCAGTGTTAGTTTTTCTGGTACATGAACTTTTTAAATGGCACATGCTTTTCCCTAATTTTAATTTTTTATTTATTGCCTTTGTAGACAGATGAGCATACGGCCTACCGTACGGCAAGTGGTATAGTCGCCCAGGGACTTCAGGAATGCCAGAGGCAAAGCCAGTCCGCCACCTACCGGTAATTTATTTATTTATTTATTCAATTTTATGCAAAAAATTACAATCACAGACTTAATGCCTGAGGCATTCTCTACTAGTCAACCAAGTATAGAGAGTCCTGTGATAGGTGCATTCCTTTTTCGAAAATCAGAAAATTAATTATAATATTACATACATAAAAAACTATGAATCGCAATTAGTTGCAGGAAGCAAAATTTTTTTACTGCGATGCTGTATGTTTTCCAGAATTTCAGTAAATTAAACGGTTGTCTGGAAGAGATCGCTTTTAGCGATAAAACCGCCTATTGTACAAATGTATCTGCTTTTTGACTGTTTTTTTCTGATTGATTGACGAGAGTATCTTACGATGTCTAGATCAATAGTGAACGTGTTTAAATCACGTATGTACTGTAATATTAATGTCTTTTTTGTAAGTATTTTCATAATGAGGGTAAACCGGAAGTCGGTTTTAATCGAACGACTATTTTTTCAACCCGAAAATAATTACTTGTCATGTTGGATATGAGAAACGACAGCTGCTAAACTTAATCCTCGACTTTACATCTACAAGATTGAACGTCTGTTGCTGAAAGTACTAAAATGAACCCTAAGGTATACGTTTAAAAGCTTAAATTTCAGTTACATGCCAAATGTGCGTACGCCTTTTTAAATTTCTTTCAATTTCAACGTAATGACGATGTAAATAAAATTTTAATGTTTTTTAATCGTTATGTATTCTGTTAAAGCTGTTATAGTCTGTTTATTAGAAATAGGTTATTACAATTAAAGTCTATTAAGAATGTTTTCAATATTTATAATGGATGCTAAAAAGGATACAAAATAGAAAGGAAATGTAATAAAAATATTAAGTTCGGCAGGCCATGCCTCGACTTGGTTGCAGGACACGGCCGCGGCTAATTACATATCCGATTCAGGCAATGGGGTAAAGCAAAGCCGCCGTCGCCCGAAGCTTATCTCGTCGGATTCCCCGTAGTAGGCAGCGGCTTGGCTCTGCTCCTGGCATTGCTGAAGTCCATGGGCGACGGTAACCACTTACCACCAGGTGGGCCGTGCGCTCGTCTGCCTACAAGAAATAAAAAAAAATGGCAACGCCACTGGTATTGCGAAAGAGTGGCAGTGAATAAGCAGTGGGATTCACTCAATCTTAAATAGACCGTACTAGGCTGCACTAAAAGTATCGGGAATGGAATATTTCCACTGTTTTTAATTGAAAACTCCTTGGTTTTAAAAATCGAATACCATTTATTTATTTAAAAAAAGATTCTCGGCCATGTCACGAGGTTTTGTCAAACTTGTTTAGTCGTTGAGAAAATGGAATTGACTCGAGAAAATTCAAGAGCGATGATTTATTATGACTTTCGAAGTGGTTTAACACAAAAACAGTGTGTTGACCGGATGATTTCTGCATTTGGTGATGAAGCCCCATCTAAAACCACAATTTGTCGCTGGTTTGCTGAGTTTCAACGTGGACGTGTCAAGCTCAGTGATGATTCCCGTCAAGGTCGTCCAAAAACTGCAGTCACCCAAGAAAACGTTGATGCTGTGCGTAAGCTGATTGAGGAAGATCGACATGTGACATACCGCGAAATTCAGGCAACTTTAGACATTGGCATGAGTCAAATACAAATAATCTTGCATGAANCAAGAAAACGTTGATGCTGTGCGTAAGCTGATTGAGGAAGATCGACATGTGACATACCGCGAAATTCAGGCAACTTTAGACATTGGCATGAGTCAAATACAAATAATCTTGCATGAACAATTAGGTGTAAAAAAGTTGTTTTCCCGATGGATACCGCATTCGCTCTGTGAAGAGCAAAAAGCGGCTCGCGTTACTTGGTGCGTCAGAAGTCTTGAAAGATTCCACGCAGGATCCTCAAATGCTGTATAAAACATTATATCAGGTGACGAATCCTGGATATACGCGTACGAACCCGAAACAAAAAACCAGTCACGAGTTTGGGTGTTCGAAAATGAGTTAAAGCCAACAAAAATTGTTCGTTCACGGAGTGTTGCAAAGAAATGGTGGCCACGTTTGTCTCCAAAACCGGCCATGTTACGACTATTCCTCTTGAGGGACAAAGAACGGTTAATGCAAAATGGTATGCTAGCATTTGTTTGCCACAGGTCATTTCTGAACTCCTTAAAGAGAACTGCAACCGCCGCATCATCCTCCATCACGACAATGCGAGTTCTCACACCGCGCACAGAACAAAAGAGTTTTTAGAGTAAGAAAACATAGAATTATTAGACCATCCGCCGTACAGCCCCGACCTAAGCCCTAATGATTTCTATACTTTCCCTAAAATAAAGAATAAATTGCATGGACAGAGATTTTCATCACCTGAAGAAGCTGTGGACGGACGCCTACAAAACGGCCATTTTGGAGACCCCAACTTCCGAATGGAATGGTTGCTTCAATGATTAGTTCCATCGTATGAAAAAATGTGTCAAATTTCGCGGAGAATACTTCGAAAAGCAATAAATACATTTTTAAATAGTAATGTTGTGTCACTTCGTTAATTGCCGAAATTTTCAGTGCCGCCCTCGTACGCACGTCTGCTTCCATTTGTAAGAAAAATAACTGATGGTACATACTACATGCCCGCAAGATTGGACATAATTATGCTTACCCATTTCTGTCAAACGTCACTTTTCTGTTTAGCAACCCACATCCAATATTACTGATTTAATCGCCGTGCCCCTTCTAAGCCCCACGGCATGAACAAAAAGCGAGATCGCTCACAAAAATACTTCCAACGAAACCGCATCCAATTTCTCAATTTCTAAAATACCAAGAGCGAAGTTACAGTGCGCAAACTTCCCTTGAAATTCAAATTAAATTTTCAAAAAGCCTTCGTAATCAAGCCGGGGCCAGATGTGTATATGTAAAGTAAATTGGGCTGTATTGTCAATGTTTTGCGAATTATTTATTAGCTCCGATACCCACAAGTTTGATTGGTATTATTTTGTTTTGTTTAGATGAGCACAATAAAGATTCCAAGCACATTTACATTTTTATTGGGCTTGAGAATAAAAATATAATAATAATTTACGCAAAATTTTTAAGTTACCTACTTATTTTAAGGATACTTAAGGAATTGCGTACGGAGTGGTTGCCGGTCTCACACCCTTTTAAATATTACTATGTTATATAATAATGCATCGACAAACAATGATTTAAACTTGCAATTTGAGTCTTATGCTTCTTTCATAATCAAGCGGACTAAAAGACAACATTTACCAGTTTTTTTGTGGATTAGCTCGATCGAGATGTTAAAGTATCGAAAAATAGGATAGTGAAGCCTTCGATTCGCCTCGAAGGCTCCGTCGGCTGGGCGTCCTTGGGGTGAGCCGCGCCGTCTGGTTGTAGTGTTGACCGCGGTAGCCCCCCTACCTCATCCGGGTTCTGACCTCGGAGAGGATCGGACGTCGGGTGTAAGAGTGCAGGGGAGTCGTTTAGTGGTTGGGTCCTAAAATCCTTGGGCCCGCGATCTGCTCTCAACACCTGCAGATCGTTGAGTCTCACATACCCCGCGCGCCCCGTATGCGCGGGGACTTCGTAGGAGGTCCGGCCCCCGGCCCGAAAAAAAAAAAAAAAAAAAAGGAAGACCTTGAAGGTGCATTTGCCTAATGAGGCCAAAAAAACAAGGTTTTAATCAACCAGAACTTCATTGAAAAATTTATCAACAATTAAATCACTACACAGTATAAAACAAAGTGGCTTTCTCTGATCCTATATCCCTATGTATGCCTAAATCTTTATAGTTACGCAACGGATTTCGATGCGGTTTTTTTTAATAGATAAAGTTATTGAAGAGGAAGGTTTATATGTATAATAACATCCATTAAATAGTGGAGAAATCAATAATAAATTACAGTTTCCAAAGCGAAGGGAGGTAGATAAAAATTACATTTGAGCACCCGCGAAAAACGGCAACACGAAATACGCCAATGAGATGGGCGAAATTTCCCCCCTCCCCAACCCTACAGGCAGACACACAACTACTACTACTGAGCTGGCGCTATGACCCCGAAGTGGGTCTTGGCCTCCGACAATAAACTTTGCCATTCATCCCGGCGCTGCGCAACACCTTGCCAGTCCGACACTTGGAGCTCCCGTAAATCTCCTTCCACAGCGTCACACCAGCGGTACTTGGGCCTCCCTACGGGGCGGCGTCCCTCCGGTACACCCGTGTACACCCGTTTCANCCGACCTGTGCGTTAAAGTCTCCTAAAATAATCTTGACATCATACTCTGGTACTTGATCGATCACCGCTTCAAGATCTTCATAAAAGCTGTCTTTGTTTTCCTCTTTGGCCAGTTCTGTTGGGGCATAGGCGTTAATAAGTGTGAAGTTCGCAAATTTACCCTTCAGCCGTAGGATACTCAGCCTTTCAGAAATAGCGTCAAATCTTATCACGCTCGCAATATATCTCCCGTCAACCATGAATCCTGTTCCATATTGGTGCTTGCCCTGAGAATTTCCACTGTAAAACAGCACGTGACCACTATCCATTAGACACTCCCCTGAGCCTGGCCATCTGACTTCCTGAAGGGCGGCTATACAGATGTTATATCTTCGTAGTTCTCTAGTCACGGCGTACAGGGCTCCAGGTCTATACAGACTACGGACATTCCATGAAGCAAATCGGTTTTCCGTTATTCCGTGCCTTGGGTCGTCGTTTATGGGATCGGATCGTTTCTGTTTTCTTGTCGGTTTCGTAACAAAAGTTTTTTTACATGAAGGGGTTGTCAGCCCCTTGCATAACCACCGAAATGCAGGAGGACCACACCCTACTTTGGTCAGCGAGCCCATCGGACTTAGCCGGCAGCTAGCTAGGCTGTACTACCGACCACTCCCCCATCCGAATTAATAATATTTAATTAATAATTAATATCCACACAACTGAATTATGTAAAACTTTTAATTGTCCCGCTCGTCTCACCTTCATTAAAATACGAAATGTTTTGTTTGAACACAAAAACTTACGTGCTACCCCACTTCCCCCCCTCTCCCCATACGGCTAACTTTATTATGAGAGGTTAAAAAGGCGTTTTTGACAGATAAAGCTGTAAGTACGGATGTATAATTGTTTTAATTTGTCAACGTGTTTGTTTGTAATGTGCCGACTTTTGTAATTAACTTTGTTTGTTTTCGTCTCTGTGAGTTGTTCGAGTGAATTGCCCGTAGAAATTGTTACGATCGCTTTGACGCTTTCTATTGCTGTATCGCTTTGTTTTTGTGATGATGAGCTTAAAATCAAAGAAGAAAGAAGTTTTGTTGTAAAACATTGTTAAGGAAGAATGCACTGATGTAATCTTCTTTAAGTAATGTAGATGGTCAATAGACTACACTGATTAAATGTTACTGTATTTTAAAACGTATACAGCAATCGACAGAACACTTGTTATGGACTTTCTTCTCAGTTAACCTATTATTGATGCGATCATACATTCCGGCTTGAAAGGCGGGCAAGCCGCGATACACAATAATTGCGATTTTGATCTCTGGTCTGAAGATTTTCTATACTAATATTATAAAGAGGAAAGATTTGTTTGTTTGTTTGTTTCGAATAGGCTCCGAAATTACTAGACCAATTTGAAAAATTCTTTTTCCATTAGAAGCCGACATTGTCCCTGATGAACATAGGCTACTTTTTTTTTTTTTTTTTTTTTTTTGGTTTCATATGTGTTAATGTTTCCGAAGCGAAGCGAGGGCGGGTCGCTAGTAACCAATAAAAAAATACTCTTCGATTTTACCGTGAGTAAATAGATATCTGTTCTACACTACGATTTATGCTTTAAGTTGCAATGCAGAAAACTTTTGTGAAATTGTGACAAATATTATAATAAAAATATAAGTAAAAATATGTAGTGCATAAAATTTAATTTAAAAAGGATTTCGGGAGCCAGTGTGAACGCTGAATGTTCAAAAATTCATAGTCAACTTTAAACACAAAGCCAAAAGTCATAGTTTCATGAAAATTTCAGCAATACACAACCTGACGTTTGATCGGCTCTGTTCTCTCAATTATTAAACGTGTAAAATGGACTACGGGTTCGAGGTTCGGCATTGCGTATTCACGAGACTGTAAATGCATTAGCTTCCAAAATATACGTTGTGTGATGCGGATAAATCGAGCGGGTCAGCTTACATAAAGGCTTTATTGGACTTAGTAAAAAAATAAATTGCTCTGCTGACCTTTTGTTAGTCTATACGATGCAATTCAAACGTAATACGCCGCTTTCGATGAAATAAAATGTTAAATATTCTCGCTTATTTGCTTAAAAGTTCTAAAACCAATGGGTCCATAATTGATGCATTCTGAACTTGCACAGAAAGCTACCTTAGCATCTGAGGTATGTTTTGGAATAAAGATGCAGACAAATGCCCATATGAACCGGAGACTGTCACGTGGAATTCAAAATTTGCCAATACTGTTGTTTGGTTTCTATAGTTCTGGATTAGCTTTTGAATTTTGAACTTACCTATACGTGTGTTGAGCTTTGGCTCATGTTTCTCTTTCTCTTTCTTCTTCACATTAGGTGAGTTCGGCTCAGCATGTCGTTTTATCACTAAGTGTTACGACCGATCGTCTGCCTAAAATCACTCTCCTTGAGTTATATCTCTAGGAAGGAACCTTTTCTGTATCTTCTGTGCTGTTTTTACTGCATTAGTTCTTCTATTTACACATTACAATATTTACATAAAAATTTAGGTTTGCAAATGCCAAAAAGATAATAATACCACAATTAGTTAACACAAACAAAAAGTTAGCTTTTGGAATCTATTCCAAATATTTTATGAATGATTGAAATAGAAGAAGAAAAAGAAACATTCCAGCATAATCATTTTAAACATTGCTAAAATTGATTTATGTAATTTGGTCTCTACTACAAATCACGAAAAAAAAAATGGTAAAACATTCTTAAATAGAATGTATATTCAGCTACAAATTATTTATAATCTGTGTAAATAGAATGACTGAGACAGCACTCTGTGAGCATCGCTCAAAAAATACTGGATAGATATTTATTATTTAACATAAAGTTGTGAAACTTTAGTAAGCTAGCCAAGCTAACACAGGCATTCGATAGAGAACTAAGAGCCTAATTCGAACGGTCGAATTCGCAGGCAGGTACAGCTAGTCTATACTAATATTATAAAGAGGAAAGATTTGTTTGTTTGTTTGTTTCGAATAGGCTCCGAAACTACTGGACCGATTTGAAAAATTCTTTTTCCATTAGATGCCGACATTGTCCCTGATGAACATAGGCTACTTTTATTTATTTATTTTTTATTAATTTTTTTTGGTTACATGTGTGTTTTAATGTTTCCGAAGCGAAGCGAGGGCGGGTCGCTAGTCACAAATAAAATTAAACCAATATTTTATTTGTGCGATATTCTCACTCGAAAGCTGTATTGAAAGTGCACAACTATTCCCCAAGGCGAATATTAGAGGTATGAAACTTACTCGAAGTTTTGAGACTACAAAGAGATAAGCCATTTTCTATCAAGTTTGACGCTATTTATAAAAGGGGCCGCAAGGGCGACGGAACTATTGCGAAACTACTACAAAGTTGCCTAAACCGCATCTACGGTTGATAATGGAAAAGTATGATTTAGAATGTAACAAAATCTTCTAATATATGAAAATGAACTCCGTTCGTGTTTTCTGCATACGATTTACCTGAAGTAACTTTGCTTTTGGCACATAATAATGGTATTTAGCATTATACCATAACCGCGCGATAAGTAACACGTTAGTAATTTCAGCAAACGTTTGTTTATATTTCATTTAAATTGGCGGTAGTTACACAATTATAATTGCGGCCATGATCCATCATTCTATTTTAGGGCCGAATATTTATATGTTGGCGTTCCATCACTATTTAAACTAAAAATAGTTAAAGTTAATTGTTCAATTAATGTTACGCATGTGAACAACTGTTTAAGACTGTATTCAAGAGAATTCGTGACTAAGCTACCCCCACTTTCTACTATAAATATGAGTGACTATTTTCGCATAAAACACTAATCCGGTGGTAGATTCTGCGAAGCACTGCTCTTGCTAGGGGCAGTGTTAGCAACACCTCCAGTTTGAGCCTCGTAAGTTCACCTATACGTCAAGGAAAAGCTGAAATAGCCTCTCAAGGCTATCAGCATATGTAGGAAAAAAAAAAGAAAAATACGCTCAAAGCTCGAGCATCCGAACGAAGCGGATTTCTCTGATGGTGCCAGCCCCAATTCGTCATATAATATGATTGTTTGAGCTCTGTGTTGTGTTGGAGTGTGTTTTATCTTTTTATGTTGAAGCCTTGTATAATTATTTTGCAATAGGAGGTAAAATTCTTGACATGCTTCGATAAATGTACCCCTTACGTCGTCGTAGTCGTACAAAGAGTAATCAAGGTCGCTCGTAGATAACAAAGACCTTTGAATAGAATTTTACAAACAAATTATTATCTTTTTATTAAACCTTTTCAAGATGTAGTCAATCTTCTATCGCCGCCATTCTATATGACAATGAGACTATTTGTAAGCATTCGTTTGCTCGTTCAATTTCGTAAAGAATTCTCAGGTTTTTCCAATTTGCTCAGAAGATATTATAAAAAATAATTTTAGTTTATCTTATTATAATTGTGATGATAAGTCACCAAATCAGGAATGAGAAGATTCGCTGGAGAACTACGGAATACTTCATAACACAAAGGATTGCGAAGTTGAAGTGGTAGTAGGCAGGCAAAAAAGTTCTCTAACGATGATTAGGCACCAAAAGACATAGCGCAAATAGATCTTCACAAGGTGGACCGATCTCTCGAAGATCGCCAGAGATCCATTGGGTGCGAGCAACGTAGCATTGGCTATTTTGGGGAATGGTTGTAAGTACCCAGCAGGGAATTTTTGTAGGCTGATGATGATGATGACAACGTCATGTTAGGTAAGTGTGGTGTCATTGATTACTAAGGTATAAATACAAAATGAAACTGATTATGTTCATTTATATACTAATCAACAAGGCCGTAGATGTATGCGGCCATTTTTACCGTGCCCATTGGAATCCGTTGGTCATTCTGCGAAACAAAATTATAAGATTATGTTTATCAGGTGTTATTAAATGACTAACTTATATATTTACTACAGTCTAAGCATTTTAAATAGAATAGTATTGTATGTCAGAAGCGCCAGCTACGCAATTCAGCCCACAAGTTTCTATGTTGACTGACAAATCCTGAGTCTAAATGGCCAAAAAAATTTTTTTATTGCTTAGACCTGTGAACGTACTCAAAGCTCACTTCGTTTTAAGTGATTATGGAAATTGGGATGTTTTTGGACTCCAGTAACGATTTTGCACACGGTGTTCCATGAATTCATTGACCCATCTCGAACGAAAATCTTTCAGCATCCGAACTTAGCATATGTAGTTTAATTATCATTGCAAAATTAGAATTTGGAAGCACGTAAAATCTGGTGACAAATATAGCTTCATTAATATTGTAATTAAAATTATATTA